CTCCCCTCCTCCCAATTAGCCACGTATTTCGCGTGGCCACGAAAAAGCTTGGCCAATTTATCCATAGGCGGTATATACTTCTTGGGGACGCGGTCTCGCGACTTTGGAATACTTTTCAACGTAGGATCGTCGAGCAGGTGGGTGTTCGGTGGCTCATGGCCGATAATCTCATATTGGGAATTGCCCACGATCTCGATGTCGCGTCGAAAATCCATCGTCCGGGTGGTCTCCTCCCGCGACTCCATCCCCCTCGATCGATCCTCGTTGTTGTCGATCGACATTCGTTCGTCGGGGAACGCGGTGTCGTGGTTCGACCGCGTCGATTCTTCCTTCGAAACTTCGATGTCGAGCTCGTCGCCCGTCGTTTCGTTGTCGATCGCGTATCGCCTGCTCGTCATTGTCGTCGTCGTTTCCTCGGATTCTCGGCCGGGGACTCGAGCAGGATTATTATCGTCGACCAGCTCGTGTTGATTCGGGTCCAAGTTTTCCTCCCTCGAATTGGGAAAGTCGAGGCCGTCCTCTTTGTAAGGGAGGATCTTCCTCTTCGCCTTCCATTGCGCGTACCAATCTTTATCGACGTCCAACCTTTGTTTCTTGAACGTGCCGATTCTAAGAAGCGGCTGCTCCTCCCGAACGCTTCTTTTCATCCTCACGTCTTTTGGACGATGATGCCTGCTCCTGTAGGCCAAAGTTTTCATGGCCTCGTCCATGTGTTGGACGTACAGGTCCAATAAATCGCACCTGGCCACCCAACAAAGGCTCGATACCACGATCAGCCTGAGCAACAGCATCTTCTTCCTCTTCTTCTTCTTCCTCTTCGCTCGCTCGCTCGCTCGCTCGCTCGCTCACCTCTCCGTCAACTTCATACGATTCTTCTTCTCTACGAATTTCTCCACGATTCCCAACCCATACAGTCGTCCCCTTGTCGTTGGGAAAAGAATTCACTTAGAACCCCTCGAATAGAAGCGAATTATCGATCATAATTCGAGAAATTTCAGAAAAAGAACGATTAAATTCTCGGAATCGAACCTCACCACTTCTCTCTTTCTCTCTCTCTCTCTCTCTCCTCTTCTCTGAATGAAAAATTTCCTCTCACGGTTGATGATCCACGTTTCCTTTTAAAATCGTTAAAAATCTTCTTTACTCGCACTCCTCTTTGAACGAATCAACGAATGATATTAATTGACCAAGTATCTACGTATCTGTCGCTTCCCAAAACGCGAAGATTGCGTGTTGGACTCGCGTCGGACTTCCCTACGTGTTACGCGAACGACAGTTGTGCCGGGACTAATTTAAGCACGCGGCTGCTGTTGCCCCTGCAGATGCTTGCAGCTGCTTACCTGTGCCGGGGTCCCCCTTCCCCGGGCCCTTATTCAGACCCGTACCACCACTTTTCCGCTCCCCTCCCCTCTCCTCTTATAATTCACTATCTCTCGAAACGAATAATTTAAACTCCAAGCTCGATCAAAGCCCTTTCTTTTTCCTTGTTTCTTTTTTTCTTCGTTTTAATTCGAAATATCTTTATTTGAAATGAAAATTTCGATAAATTTTAATATTAAGGGAAAGAGATGGATAGATTCATTAAAGTGAGGAGAGACGAGAGAGAGTTTTCGAAGAGAGAAAGGAAGAGGAAATCGTCACACCATGTTCGAACGCTTCTTCTTTTATTGTTCCATCTCTATTATTATTCTTATGGATAGTACGGTACCACGCAGCGTGGACAATGGGCAATCATCGTCGAAATCTTTTTTTCATCGTCAAATGGGATATTGAGGGAATTGATGGAATTAGATGTCGAGATAGGTTTGTTTTTTTTTTTTTTTTTTTTTT